GCGTGACCGCGGGCGCGCCGCGCTGTTCGCAGTCCTTCAATCAGCCCTGTGGGCTTTACCTTTTTCTCGGAGTAATTTCCGCATCTCCGCTGAGGTGGCTGTACTTTTCTTGTGTGTGTATGTACTCACGAACGCTAGCGACAGCTAGCTAGCTGGATAGGTAGATAATTAGGTAGATAGATGGATAATAAGCAGATAGATGGATTGACTCGTTTGCCACAGATACGTCTCTGAAAATTGAGCAAAGCTCTCCTGTCAAAACAGGAGTGTTTAAAGTCATTTCCAAGTACTCTTTTCTTCAGAAGTTATTATGGAAACAAGGAGAGGACTGTAATAGTACTGCCAGATTCAATTCAGATTTAAAACAAAATTTAACGTGTTGAGGGGGCGAGGCTGCAGCTCAGTGGTAGAGCGCGTGCTTGGCGCGTGCAGCGTCCTGGGTTCAGTCCCCCGTGCCTCCTTGTAAGTCACTGTAAGAACCTAATTACCCCCTCAATAAACCGAAATATAATAATTAATTAATTAATTTAAAAGTGTTGAGAACCCCCGTTGGCAAGCACAGCGCTGGAGAAGCCGGGTGGGCTGAGATGGCCCCCCTCCAGGCAGGCGGGGTGCTGGGGAAACCGACAGTTTTGTTCAGGGTGGGGCGTGCTTGAGGGGAGATGTAGTGGGAGGGGTTCTAAGCAGAGAAAACAGGAAATGCAAATACAACCTGTGTGTGGGGAGGGTGGGGGGAGCTCTGACAAGAGGTTAAACAGAGGTGCTTAGCACAATGGGAAAAATTCTGCCCTTTACCAACCACATGACTGCCAGCAATTTAGTTTTCCCTCCCGACGCCTCCCTTTCTCCACTTTTAACAGTGAGAACCCTTGTTCTGCTTCCCTCATAGCCTGTGAGGAAGCCATGCTGTAATGCGCGTGTAAGCAATTTGAAAACAATTAGGTTGTGCGTCAACAAGCAACATGTATTATTACATATTCCACACGAGGAGTGACATGACTGAGAACAGAAAGAACTTCCTCTTCTCCCGGTTCACTCTCTGTGTTTCCTGTCTAGCTGGTGACCCATGCCCTCGGCACTGCCCTCACCTTCCCTCCTTGGAGAACAGGACAGAACACTGTGCACCTGCAGAGGTCAGGGGAGGGCGCTGCCTGGGTCTTGACGAAACGTTTGGATCAGCCTTCACGATTCCCCGGCAGGAAGCTCCCTCCTGATGGGTGACACTGACCGAGCACCTGGGGAATGAGGATGCCCCCAAATATCCATAGAATTTTACCAGTAGCTCTTCATCCAGAGCCGTTTAAACTATCAGTGGGGAACACGGCATGTCCGGACCGGCAGCTCTGAGCTGAGGGCAGGGCTGAGCCATGTGTCCTGCGCACCACGGCTGCGTGTGCTACATCATCCTCCACTGACCGACTGTCCCCCACCGCCCACCCCCACTGCCCGCCTCACAGCCAGGGAGGCTCCCGGGTCTAGAGAAAGAGGACTCCAGGCGGCCTAACGCACCCAGCTAAAGCAGACATTATTCTGAGAATTTTTCGGAAGGCGCACTGGAGTTGCTGCTTTGTAAAACTGAAACAAAGTATTGACATTTCTAAGCCCAGAACTATTTTTTAACAAGCTGGAAAATACTGAAAAACAGGTAGCAGTTTTCTCTAGAGAATGGAGTGTAGTTACAAAGTACACTTTTTTTTCCCCTCCATGTGTATTTTGGAAAAATATGTGCCAGGAAATTTCAGGCCAAATCCGAATGCAGAAATAAGCCAAAATATGGCAGATTTATAAGCCAGGTAATTTTTATTTATTTGCTAATGTGGATTCCCTTAAGAACTCAAATATTCTGTGTTACTTATGGCTTCTCCTTGAAAGACTTACCTCTAAGGTGTCAGCTGCATGAAACTCTGGGCCGCAGAGTTGTCTGAGTCGAGCATCAGTCATGATTCTCCTCCGTCTCTGACTCAAGGTGGTTTGCAATCTACTAGCACTCTCCCTGTTTGGTGATTAATAATTCATAATTAAACTGGCAGTTGGAATAAATCAGTGTGACTCTAGCTCGGAGCCCCCTGTCTCCACTGCCCTTCCTTTCATTTGGAGAGTCTGAAAGGAAATTGAGAAGAAAGATTTAGGTATCAGAAACCCTGCATGAAAAGCTTTGTCCCCCCTCTTAGTTTTTTGGACTTGCTCAGTCTGTTTTTTGGATCTTTCTTTCAAAGAGGAATTAAAGCAGGTCCCCTTGTCAGCCTTGCACCAGACCCCGAGGAGACAGGTGTGTGGGGTTCCATCCTCATCCCCACGCACCTCACCCTCCAGGTAGAGAGGCAGGCACATAAAACCACCAGCTCTAAGTACGACGTGTTCAGTCCCCTCCCCGAGGGAGAGGCGGGGGCTTCCCCTTTCAGGATTCGGGGAGCAGTTGGGGGAATCTGCAAAGGGGAGGTGACCTCTGAGGTCCCTGAAGGATGAAGTGTATCTACTCAGGTAGGAACCAGAGAGGAAAGGGGGAGCGGAGCCCTGGACCGCCGTGTGCTTCTTCCCTGCTCCCGGCAGAGCCGGTCCGAGTCTGCAGGGAGCTGCCTGGGTGAGGGCGTGGCCTGCAGAGGAGGCTGGCCCCTGGGTTGGGGTCATTAAAGGAGGCTGTGTGTTAAGCCTGGTGGGCCATCATGAGCTGAAGGAGCAATTAGGGGAGTAGTTTGATGAGATGATTGCCCGAAAAGGACACTGTGGCCCCATGAGGGACGCAGGTTGGGGAACCCACACCAGGCAGCACGGCACGTTCCAGGCAGGAAGCTGTTACTGCTGACCGTGTGAAAATCGGTGAGAAACTCAACCAGGACGATGGTGACGAGAAGTACCTTTAGAGAAGGAACCTTGCTATCTTCCAAGCCGAGCTGCAGGCCTGGAGGC